AGTCCTCTTTTGCAAATGAGGACTCATTCTAAGCATTATAGCTGATGATAGTATAAGATCAATTACTACTAACAATTTAAACTTACCAAGGTTTATTATGCTAGTAACAGCTTTTGACTTGAGTTGTTTCACTTAACAAATTGAAATTTGGGCATTTAAACTCTTAATTCTATTTATTTTTAAAAGATTATTATTATACAAATCGTAATATGTAAGAATGGCTGTTTAAAATAAATATAATTTTTTAATTAATTATTATATTTTTATTTTATTAGAGAATAATTTGAAAAACTAAACTTCAACAGCATAAAAATAATAACAATCAAATCTCCCTTTCCACTGCAACAAATTTCAAAAACAAATCTCTTTCAATACTTTTACTGATAAGTATCTTTTTACTATTAATAAATGAGTAAATATATATAATATTATGTATAGATCTTCAAATGAAAAAAATAATTATATAATGACATATTATATTATAAGTTCATAATATCATGTGATAATGTAATTATAATATTTTTTATAAAAAAATTTATGATAATTAATCATTATTATTATTATTATTATTGAAAATGATGTTTTTTAAGATCTATACCAAATTACAATATCATGACTTTTGAATAAGTAGGACTCCATATGAGTCTTATTCATTCAAAACATAAATTTTACAGTCTAGCGTGGACGACACAAATTATCTGTGAATATAATTCTGCAAGTTCGTAGTTATCACTTAGGATGCAGTTCAAAAAATAGAAAGGGGTTAAGACTTAATAAATGAAATTTCAAAGACCAAATAAGCTGAGGCCTGGTCCAATTAATTAACTATGCTTGCCATTGTTTCTTGATTGTTGCTTCTGTTTTGGACGTTTTCTCCTTTTGGGCTTTTGAAGTATTCTACAAGATTCAAGCAAATTTCTTTGTTGGGCCTTTAAGGATTATCTTCCACGCCACGCTTCTTCTTTTGCAGCCCAACATTAAATCCCCACTCTCCTCTTTTTATTGCGCGCTAACAGCACAAATAGTACCAGTGCTCTAGTGCTTTATTCATTTTAGTCCTATAATAATTCATCTGACCGTCTTCATTTATTGAAAATCCTGCATGTGGCCTAAACACAAAGTTTGCATCCAACTTAAAACCAATTGATAATAGGTGGAGTAGCCTTTCTTGTATTTAACCCACAAGTTTATTATTTTTATACTCGATGTGAGATTTTCCCACTTAACACGTCCCCTCACGTGCAGGCTCGCTATGAATGTCGGGTCTTGTCACGTGGGTTAATACGCCCTCTTAAATGCAGACTCGATATCAACTTCGGGTCCTGTCAGGTGGACTAACAATAGGCTTCCCATGGTAGAACTTGGGCACTGATACCATATTGAAAATCCTGCATGTGGGCTCAACACAAGGCTTGCATCCAACCTAAAACCAATTGGTAATAGGTGGAGTAACCTTCCTTGTATTTAACCCACAAGTTTATTATTTTTATACTCGATGTGGGATTTTCCCACTTAACATCATTCCTACCGCAAGACGCCATATTCCCCGGTCTCTTCTGATCTTTTGTGTTCCATTAAGGTGTGAACAAATTGCAAAATGTTGCAAAACAATTTCTTTATGGAAGATGCGCAAGCTAGATGTCCAAATGAGGGGAATATTCAACTAAGCTCGAATGGAAATACTTGGCCTTCCCTTCTAAATATAGGCAAATGAGGGAAGAGGTTTACAAATATGCTAACATCAACTATGATATCAGCTAGTACTATTACAATATTACAATATTACAAATAACTTTCACACTAAATTTTCGTAGCTATTTTTAGACACCCAATATTCTTATCTAATCCTATTAGGATTTATTATTTACATAAGTACTTCTATTTTTATTTATTTTAAATTTAACAATCCTAACAGTTTTTCATGTTATGCCATTCTTCATCACCTATAGTATTATTCCAATTACATCACCTATAGTACTATTACAATTCCAGTAGGTGTCGAACTTCCTAGAAGAAATACCTAGTCCCACTACTTTGACAAATCAACCTAATAATGACACCCCACTAAAATAGTACAAGTGGTGATGAATGACACAACTTGGAAAACCGTTGGGAGGACTAAAATAAAATAAATAAAAATAAGATTACTTATGTAAAGAATAAATGTTAATGGGATGAGGTAAAAACATTTGGTGTGTAAAATTACGTATGAAAATTAAGTGTAAAAGTTGGCTGTAAAAGTGCTTCTAATACCATGGTTGATGTCAACATATTTTTGTAAGCTTTTTCCTCCATGGTTGATATCAACATGTCGTGATCGGCATCATTGAGAGTTGAGACTGCTCTTAATGCAGGAATAGTAGTCATGACAATATTTCGAACAATCATCTATTAGATTTGGATAAGAATTGTAAGGCTTATAGAGGAAACCACTTGCTCATCGCATTTGCCTATATTAGCCATTCTCTTTGGACATCAATAGGGCCTCAGTGTCTTTGTAGCATGGCTCCTCAATAAACCTAGATTTCTTTACCAAATCCTCAATCCAACCAAACTAGTTAGATCTCAAGGACCAAGAGGCTCTCAAGTCTCTATGGATCTTTGGTTTGTAACTATCAACATCTCATGCTTGTGATGCAGAGGGTCAATATAATGCTACAACTACGAAGCATACTTGCCTAATTATGATAGGGGCCATATGGCCACTAAGCAAATAATCAAGTACAAGTACTTCTATATAATCTACATGAGTTTCAATATGAGAAGAAAAGAACCTAGAAAGCTATGGAAGCTAAAAACAGCAATATCTTATATAAGAAAGCTAAGATCTCTTAAAAGAGTTCCTACGCTCAACTAAGACCGAATGGAAATGCATGCCTTCCCATGTCTATTTATAGGGCAAAGGGCGGAAGAAACTTACATATATGTTGACATCAACCATTACATCAATAAGCACTATATATTATAACTAACTTTCACACTTAATTTTCATATCTAATTTTACAAACCTAATATTTTTGATCTAATCTAATTAAAATTTATTCTTTACACAGATATTCATATTTTTATTTATTTTATCTAAGTCGTCTCATCAGTTTTTCAAGTTGTGCCATTCTTCTCCACCTACATTGTTACAAAAGTTGTCATCATCAGACCAATTTGTCTAGGTAGTGTGATTAGGTATTTCTTCCAAGGAGTTCCTGTTTGCTATATCTTCCTCTGGCCGTCTTGGTCCTCCTTCCGGCTGTTTGGTCTTCCTTTTTGACGTCCCACAAATTGGGGGGGTGATCCCGACAGTATATCATGGTACACCTTACATAACAATTGTCTTTCTTGTGGATTCCTCGTAGTGGGAAGGTTTTTTGCCGCCCCTAGTAAAACATCTCTAAAGCATGGCCTCATTTTGGCTTGGAGAGGAGTGCTACTGTCATTCAACCTTTTGTCCGTCATTTTGAACGATTTGATAGCAACACTCATTATACATCCATACAATGTACTCGGCCTCATTGGAGCTCCCGTCGGTCTAGTCTTCCAACAAAAAGTGTCGAGGAAGAGAAGAAATTCAAAATAAACAGGAAATAAGATAATGAAATTATTAAAAGTTTTCTTTAGAATTTTATTAATTATTGGATTTATCTAATATATGTCCCTCATGTACAATAAATATATTTTTTATAATTAATTTATATAAAAAATTATAAAAATTAATATTATTTTAATACTACTTATATGTAAATAATTTAATTAATTAATTGATTAATTTAAAATCAACACTTACATTTTTTATATAAATTAATTATAAAAAATATATTAATTATATTTCTTAATCTGTATTTTAAGAGTATAGATTAAAATTTTCCTTAATTATTATTAAAAAAGTTATTGTGACCTTGAAAGATAAATAAAAAGAAA